CAGCCGATTTTCTCGAAAATTGATATTCCCCGATTGATCTGAATGTACTCAAGAACCAGCGAGTTCGGACACTGATTTTGGGGGATAATTTACATGAAGTCTTACGAATATTTTCAACATTTTCTCAAAAATTGCCTTCATATTTTTTGAAACACGCAATTTTGAAACAATTTTAAATCATTATTTTCTCAAAAAAGGCTCCTAATTTTTTTCTTTAGTTTTTCTCGTCGTATGGAGGAAATAGTAGTCAAGAAACTGGTGCCGGTCGCATTTTCGTTTAACTTTCTAAATTTTCCAAAATTTCCAAAATTCAAAATTTCTTCGGTATTTTCTCGCAATTACGATACTGTAGTAGAATATTTCTTTATGAGATATGTTCATAGAAATAGATCATTAAGTATGTTCAATTTTTTGAAAATATGAGTAGTTTTTGCGTAATTTTGAATAAAACGTAGGTATTGAAACAAAATTAAACAATTATTTTCTCAAAAACTGCAAAAAGAACTCCTTTAATTTTTCCTCATAAGTAAAAAGAACGGCAAAGAAAATAATGCTATACAGTCCCATTTTCAGCGCTATCTTCGTAATTTTTGAAAATTGCAAACTAAAAATTAACATCAAAAGTGCAATTTTGATAATTTTTTTGTTAAATAAAATTTGTTCTAAACATAAGTTTTTCAAAAAAGTCATATACATTTTTTAAAAGCATTAATAGTTGAGTGTAATTTTGCAAATTATTGAAACAGCAAATTCAAATTTCCGGTATCTCTGTTATGTTAGAATCTTTCAAAGGATATAAGATTGAAATACTCAACAAAGTTACACCAAGTTTGAAATTCTGAAAATTATTTCTCATTGTTGAGAGATGATACAGCTATATAAAACCTCTTTTAATTGTTGTATTTGTATTGGTTTATTAGCTTTAAACGAAACGCACCGAATGTTCTACGATTTGTAATGAATATGTAATGGGTTTTACAAGTGATGACTGAAATGAGTTAATATGGATAAATACTGTGTTCTGTTTTTATTATCGTGATTTTTGAGAGAATTTTCTTAAGTGGGTAAACGTATGGAGCAAAGAGAGTAATGAGTAAGTCGTGTTATAACGAGCAAATTTTAGGAATATTGCAATATTATAAATTATGTTAATGTTTAATTAATAATTACTATTATATATATTTGAATCCATTTATATTTGCTTGCAAGCACTATCATCAAGTGGAGGGCATAAAACCGAGAATGCTTTATGTCATAATAAGCGATTTGGTTTAATAACGAAAATATTAATTTCAGATTTCATTAACATAAATATGATTTTGTCTCTAAAAACTTCTTATTTCTATTACATAGCGTTCTGCACACAAATATTAATACTTGTTGGTGCGATGACTGTTTAAACATAACTCTTAATTTTTTATTTTTTTTTTAAACTTTTAAATAAACAGATTTCAGAAATCACAACAGCAATATTCTAATTACAGTTTAATTATAAAAAAATAATTAAATATGCTACAAAGTAGAAACTCTTTAGTGTCTTGGTTTTTGAGAGAAACATAAGTATAATACAAATATCGATTATGAACATTACCACGATAGATCTACTTGTGCTCTTTGTCTGATTTTCACCACAAATGAAATACATTATTTTAATAGTTATTTTTACCAATTCTCCAATGTTACAGCTGATGTAATATTCATAACTGAAGAAAGACCTCATGAACATTTTCAACGAGAAGGAAACAATTTAGTGATGCACTGCACTATTGGCCTTAAAGATGCTCTCTCTGGCTTGAGAGTTGTCGTGAAAACTCTCGATGAAAGAACTTTCCATGTGAATATCACTGATGTTGTACAGTAAGTATTATGTCGTGTGTAATTGTCATACCAGTTTTTAATCCATTAAAATGCAATTTACTTACTATGAATTAATACATGAAAAGTTGATATTACTTGAATTTAACAATCCGATAGATTTCTACTTCACTCTGTGAAAACACAAAACACTCGTAAATAAGCAAACCAAACAACAGTACCCTCAGCAACTCACAACACAACACTGAATAGAGGAATTGAAACATGTAAAGTAAATTAGCACGATTGCGCTCTGTTGGGCCGGACTATAAATGCAATGTCACTCTTCTCTACTCTTTCAAAGTAAAATCATTATTATTAAGTGAATCAACATTCGTAACTAGATTTGATTCTCAGAAGGCATACATAGAGACATAATAACACATGTCGACTTGCAACATCTATTTGTTTATATTCTATAATTTGTAACATGTAGACCAGTCTGTTACAGTGTCACTGAAGATACAATCAAGCGTAAAGGGTATTGCTGATGATTAGCCACTTTTTCTCGTTTACCTTCGTATTGAGACATGTTTTGTAAATAAGAATAAATACTTGATTTCGAAAGTATCTTCAGTTCTTCTGCACATAAAATGATGAACTGCAATCATATGAGAAAAGTATTGCTTTGACATTTTTTTCCTCTGCAGTTACGGATACATACACCGTGTTTGCTCCTTTATATCTGAATCAGCAAATTTCGTTTACTATTTCTCAATCTATTCAAGGCTGAAATCTCCTGAAAGTTGAAAATGCATGGGAAAACGTAATTCCAATGTGTTATTTTTGAAGTATCACTAGAAACATTTACGTATATTTGCAAAATATTGATATTACCATGCTACTATTCTTTCCTTCAGCCCGTTGTACGAAAAGATTATCAAAGGAGAAGGAATGCCACTGGTACAGGATCCCCGTAAAAAAGGCGATCTGATCATTCGATTTGAAGTCGAATTCCCAAAATATCTTCCAAAAGCTGCCAAACTATTAATTTTGGAAGCCTGGCGGTCAGCAACATTGGAAAAAGAAGGCGAACCAGATCAAATATTTAAACTGGTAATGCTGGACAAGATGAAGAAAATTTCTGAAACCTTTCCAAAGTTGACGTGAATGTTAATGTTGCAACATGTGTAATTCTATTAATAAGTATATGAATAAATAACAAATATTAACATTTTCATAATCTACTTATGTATTTTGCACGTTTAACTTTACAACTAACTTCTAGAACAATTTCAACAAATTGTTACACATATTACTGTATTAACAAACAAGCAATTTTATAATATTTTAATAATTAATAAAGGGTTGCCCTATTAATGACGCCATCGTATGGCTGGACGGAAACTCAACAGGAGTGCATCACAAAATGGCGTATCCGAAGTATATTAATTAGTAACTAACGCCACATAATGCACTGAGCTCTACAGCACTTCCATCAGAAACGGAAATGTGAACCGCTGGAGCTTCTCTGGGACGGAATCTGCACTATTAGTGAGGAAAACAAGGTAGGTGACAGAATCGATGCGAACGATGCTGCTCGCGAAATCCTGATTGCTCGAGGTTGAGGTGGTTCTTCCCCACTGGATGATAAGATTCAGCGCTGACATGCATTCCCTCCCCCCCCCCTCCCCAAGAATTTCCCACAGCGAGACACCGCTCCAGTTAGGAGAACCTGAATGATCCCGACATGGGAAGAAGTGTAGTGCATGCAAGAGTGTGTGTATTTGTAAATGGGAAGGATAGGATAAGAAAGAAAAAGAAACAGATCGCGCGCGGTCCCTGGCCTGTTAGGATACTGCTCCGGCATTCTTCTGGTACTAATCGGAGAAATCACCGATGACAACTGATGTGAGCAGCCGATTCCTATTCGCATATAGGTCTACGGGGGGATGAGAGGGAATAAAGAGAATAGCCATTTTATTGGGCGGTGTTACTTACTGTGGCATCGGCACATGACGGAGCCCAGCCTCTGCGAACACGGTCCTCCGCAAGAGCGGCTTTGAAGGGGCTATCGGACGGGTTGGCGATTGTCAGAGTTTACACGCGGTCGGGAGAGAGGACGGAGAGCTGCTAACAGTACTCCAGAGGGTCAGACCGGACCGGGGAGGGGAGGGGAGGAGTGTGGCAGAGTCGGTCACTAGCAGGACTCGAAAACTAAGACCTTCCGGTCATAGTTACTGCAGACTCCGGTAATGCTGGCTTTGAGCCAGCTCGACCAGTTTCCATTGAACTCAAGAAAGAAATCACAGAGACGTGCTTCGCTACGGAAGAACAGTTTGCCGATCATTCTACGAGTAGTTATGCGTTACAAATGAAATTATGTATTAGGTTTTATGGAGAGTGAAGAGTAAATTTTGTAAAATGTTTATTTTTATTCAATAAATTAGTAGAAGTTTTGTGATTCAATTTGTGATCTCTATACTACTACCCAACATGCATTTGCTATATTCTTCGAATTCTTCAGAGAATAATTGAGCAGCTGCAGAGAATGTCATATGAAACTTCCGTAAAATGTATCATCCTTAGAATTAAAGTTACAATATAAACTAGCGGTTCTACAGATGGGCACAGGTAAGGATCCAGTTCTTGAATTGAACGCATTTCACATACAGTTGCTTGTCAGGTCAAGATATTATGGAAGAATTACGGTATAGTTGTAATCCACAACGGACTCGAAATATCCCTCCCCCATGTTACGAACACAAGTTCAAACATTTATGCTTTACGCGGATTCGAACGCATGGCCTTAATGACTACGTTATTTGGCACACCTACCCCGAGACTCCAACTCGCGAGACAAAACTAATTTGACCATACTATTTGTAAACGTTTTACGGTTTGTAAGAATAATTCAATAAAAACAATATTACTATTACTGACATTTTATGTGTACACGAAAGAAAGAAAAACGAATATATTAAAAAAAATAATACCTTCTTCACAAGCGCACCTCGAGTCAGAGGAGCCAACAACCTCCAAAACGGGTTAACAAAACAGTTAACTTTGAAGCGTTTACTTCACATTACAGTGCACAGAGAGTTTATTTATGAAAGTTGAAAAATTACATTTAGACCACAGAACCCGGTCTCAGAAACTATTGTCCATGGCATGAACACAGTGTAAGATATATTTGTTTCACCGCTCATAGACGATGGTGCTGCGCTCACCAGATCTCGAAAGTCACATGTTCTGTTAGAGTTCTCTATAGATACGGTCAACAAAATATTAAAGTTATTAATATTTAACTTTAAATAAATTAATCTTTAAACTTTGAAGCTATTGTAAAGACTTGTACCATGATGTAAGAAACTGTTTCTTCCATCATTTTAGAATATTTTTGTTGAGTTGGTATGAGAGCAGGTTGTGTATGAAGCTCTTTGGTTAGATTCGTAATGTTCTTTGGTTCATGTAGGTCTTCCGGTCAGGTTGTGGCCCTGGAGTAATACGGAGTCGTGGGAAATAGCAATCTGTTTAATCGAGTAATCTAATAATAGGTTTGTGTTCGTTTGCCTCAAAATATTGTTGCCCTTATTGTTTACTTTGTCTAGCAACTTACATGTGGTTCCGTTTAATCACCTAGAATCCCGGTTAAATTTTGGAAGCACTTTTTGACACGTTTTAATCTGTTGCAGTGTAAGAGATGGCGAAGTCGAAGAATCACACCAATCATAACCAGAGTGAGTGTGCGAACGTTTGCGCAAGTGATGTTAATTCTTGTATGTATTCTGTATGATAATGTTTAATGACCTGATATTTTCAGACCGGAAAGATCACCGAAACGGAATCAAAAAACCAAGACGGTTTAGACACGAGTCCACTCTTGGGGTGAGTTATGGTTCATTTCGTTGTAAATCATGTGGAATATGTAACCGAGAATCTATTTGAATAGACTACTTGAACCAATTTGGAAATTGGGTAGCAAAACAAGCTGCCGTTGAGAAGTGTCTGCAGCTGGAAAAACGCACAATGTTTTGAAGTTCTGGTAGTTTTATTGCTATGCATATTTTAAAGGATGCTATATGAAATTTTCCTCGTTTCTTGAAAGGAGGATAATTCTTCAAAGTTTTCTTGGTTCTATAGAAGCTCCCAAAGCTCTTGGGTGCTTGGGAGCCTGCTCCAATCTGAATATTTGAGAAATTTTGTAACATGTTAAGTAGATCAGTAGGATTTCCTTGAAAATAGGTTTCATTACAGAATTACCAGTATTTGTATTTAGATTGTGTTGTTGAACACAACATCGAGAATCCAAGTAAATACTGGCTAATATCATTATTTTATATATTAAGTCTATCTCATCCGTGCAGTCTGTACTTTTATTGTCTGCCTTGATAATGTTGTTGAGGCACATTTATAATTTTCTTTTCAGACAGAAAGTATCTCTTAACTGGCTTAATTTCCATTACTCCTCCCCCTTTAAAAGTTGCTCCAATTACATTGCATTACCTTGACTATTGTTGAACCACTTGCATAGAAAGAAGCCATTATTTTTTCTATAATGGTTTACATGGTTCCCCATAGTTTCTTTTCATTTATTACAAATTAGAGGTAAATCTTGTGTTGCTCTATTCGGAAGAATTGTGCCTGTTCCATTTTATAACTGTTCTTCTATGTTCTTTAGATAGTTGAAACTGGTAAAAAAATTGTCTGCAGCTATATGATAAGGGTAATCCTTTTCGACAGATTCTAGGAATATCAGCGGAGCAGTTGTCTCCAAATACCAGTTTGACTTTTCTCTTGATAAAGCAAAAGTTCATCTGCACTGTTTTAATCAGTCATTTCAGCTTCTAAAGAGTAATGAAGATGTCCAGTACTCCCAAATCATTTTCTTCTTTCTCACCCTGACTTGCATCCAATATTTGTAAAACTTTGATAGTAACTTTTAAAAATGTACATCGCCCCTACATATTGTAATATAACTTTTAAACCCATCAGAAAAGTAAAAGCAACATTGTTAAATAAAAATTCAGATTGGTTAAGTGACTTAATAGCAAAAGACTATTGCAACATGAACTTCATGCACCTAAACACACTTCTTGAAATTATAAAAAAACATGTTTGAATATTACTTGCCTGTACATTGTAAACTAGTTATTTAAATCAATATCACAGAATTTCGGCATAAACAAAACAATTTGTTCTTAGAATTCCTCTTACTGCATTTTGAGGTGCAATGATCATAATCTTGTCAACATAAGGCTGGCGGTGACTCACGAATGATATACAACAAATTTATTCTCAGAAACTCGCTGAGACCAAACAACTTGTTGATGGTCAAAAAATGCCTGTGTGAGGACAATTTCAGATGTTTGCTGTGATGTTTTTGTTACTCATTTGCCCTTGGTTTAAATGTAAAGAAATGCATTGGAGGTGCTTTTGAAAGAAAATAAATTTAATAACTTTATATCTAAATTGTTTTTGCTATATGTTTGTTCATTTTGTTCCTTGGTCTCATTTAATACTATCTCAGATACACCTTGATGGATGAGGTGAAATACATTCTAATCTAATATTCATTTTTATAAATTACGTCTTTTTATCCATTATCACCAAAAATGTAATTTGATAAATATCTTGTCAGTAGTTCTTGTGCATGTACAAATCATTCTACATGCTCTAAGAATATTTCTCATATCTTAGCTCAAGTTCTTGTGTGGTCTTGTTCTTTTCAAGTGTAACCTGTTTCACAATATGGAATGAATTAGTTCAGTAGTTTACTAATTTATAGGTCTAAATTCACCTATCTGCTTATCTTGCCTTTGTCCTTTCTGTGACATCGATAGTTGAAGTGTATCTGTTTCATATTGGGTTAGTACTGAGACAAAGGCACAAATTAAGTTTCTACAAAGTAAGGTTCAGTAGAGCTGTTGGAAAACACGACTGGGACCTCGTAACGTTTGAGAAAATCAAGAAACTGACGTATGTATTTAAGTCCTATACAGCCTAACCTGTGTAGGATTTATTTATCTTCAAATTCCTCTATTTACCTGAATGTAACTAGACCTTGACTATCAGACAACCCCCGAGGCCTCTTGAGAATTTTAAAATTTTTTTAACTAATTCTTATTATTGAATCAAAAAATATGCAAGTTGTCCAATTGACTAGAAAATTGTGGATGATAATATTAAGCCTGAGCTAACACTTATTTTCTTGTCAGTAAAAATCATCACATTCATGGTATTTACCCTCTTCTTCTCATGAATCATTGTTCCTTTTTGGGTGTCATCATATTGCAAAGTTCTTTGCCTTCTTAGGCGTGTCTGAAAGTTATGCACCTTACATTTGTTGTATTAGTTTTAATGTAAGAATATTCGCTTCTGTCTCACCAGGTTTTCTTTGGGGCCTTGTCGCATTCTTTTAACTGAATATACTTTGAATTCGAGCCATTTAATGTCTATGTGATCAGAGAAGGATTTAGACACATGCATCAAGGCAGCAAAATGTGGACCACATTTTTTAAATTTAATTTTCAAGTAACCTATTTTAATCAATTTAATCTTTCTAAATGTCAACATTGCTTGAGATTTGGGTCTTGTCTGGGGTGGCAAACAGGTTAAATCTGTCTCTGGATGTAATGGTTGTAAACAGCTGAATTGTATATCTGTTCCTTCTTTTCGCGGATTATGTTGGAGATAGCTGAAAGTTTTTGGTAAGGAAATATTTATCATTTTCTGTGGGTGGATGTAGAATGTGTACGAATCAGTGAATTTTTTTTTATTTCTCTCTTTCGCACAACAGATGTGCAGCCTTGTCAATCTCGTAATTAGCATCATGTGACAAAATCTGGGCAATGATATTTATTAAGTTTTCATGTTGCAATTCTTGGTACAATGTCATTCGCTTGATTCTCTCATTACCGATCCATTTCTAACTTTCGGCCTGAATCGTCCAGCAAATTTGCAGTGAATGCTTGAAAAACAACCACGAATATAATTTTGTATTATGGATAGACGTGACATGGTTCATCGTAACTATAATTCTCAATATTCATTAAATTCTAATTCCTGCTTACTCTAGCAGTAGTGGGGTTGAAAGCATGTCACTGATCTTAAGTTTGATTTAACACAAAGGAAACGGAGTAAAAGCTATGCTCGGAGCTCTTAATTCAGCCAGTGTTTGTTGCTTAAGCTTTCATAATCGAGTCTTAAATACATTGCTTTAAATTAATAATTTTCTTTCAAAAGGATAGGTTCGTGAAATAAATCAAATTAGTTCATTAAATAAACATTGCCTGAGGTAACACCAAAAAGCTCTAAGTCGTTTTACTTTATTTTTTATTCCTTTAATGAAGTCATTCGCTTCATGCCGAAATTTGTATAAACTTTTTCTTGGTTTATGTCTGGGAGAGCATTCTTTTCAGGGGTGAAATTTTTGCTTGCAATTGCATTTCCAAATGGAAAAAAGGGAGAAACATCCATAGTATATGAAAGATCTCAAATTAAGAACATGATCATGGTTTTCATTAACCCCTACTTCATTATTGTGAATAGAATTTTGTATTTGGATATTGACTTGTTCAAAATTAAGTGTAAAACCATCCCAGACTTTCAATAGGTTCATGTCTATTATAATTTTGAACGGAGGTGGGTTTCTGTGGCACGTTACCATTGTTGTTAATCAGAGCAAAGAAAACTGTCAACATCAAGAGGGGGCACTTACTGTTTCCGCTGCTTTTCAGTCTCCGCAGCACCCTATCCTAAGCTCCTTCCCAATTCAGGTGCCTCTGTCATTGTTCTTTCTTGAATGCAAGTTGCCTGCAGCTTGCTCTCCTTCCTTTCTGGTATTGAAAATCACTTTCCAGTATCCTTTCCTCTCCCATTCTACTCGCATGACATACCACTGTGTGTGATGAAGAGTCTTCTTGGCAATTCTTTCTTGCATTAGTAGTATGTTTGTCTGGAAGCTCTTATCAAGAATTCCATATGCTACAGTTTCAATCTTTTACCCATTTTCAACCAAGATTGACCAACTATTCACTTTAATAGTTTCAACAATGGCCTTGCACACATTAGTATTTGTTTTCCAACCAATCTTAGATACCAAAGCAATTCACATAGACATATATGGTGTCATATGTCATATTCACATTATATACTTAACACTGCCTAAATAAGTGTATGTTTTTCAATTTTTTTATTATGATACCTGGAGAACTCTTAGATTTTCTTCTTCTCTCTTTTGAAGACATTAAATCTTCATATTTATGTTCAAATCCCACTTGTATTTCTCAGTCAATTTCATCATTTATGTATTGTGCATAAAAAGGGTCCTTTGTTGACTACCTCAATTAAGTGCTAGAAATGTGGCCTACCATCGTGTCCAATTATATTATTGAGATGCTTACAACAAAGGAAGTAAAATGCTGAATTAACTGCAAATAAATTCACTAGAATCTGAGCGTAGTTATTTCCGTTGGTTCACAAATTGTGTTGCGATATCCAAGTGTACTTCAACACATTGTACCTAGACCAGTGGAAACTCGTAAAAAAACAATGGGGCATTAATAAGCATTTTCAGGGTTGGTTCAATTTTTTCCAGCCTCGTAAAAAAAACAACCTTTTTCAAACGCACTTGAAAAGCCTATTTAAATGTTTTCATAACAATGATTGTAAACTTTATTTGGTAAATGCAGTTGAAATCTTGAGTAGAGTAGGTGAAATATTGGGGAAGTTTTTGACTTGAGGCATTAAGGTAAATGTGTTCTGAATGATACTTTTGAATTAGGTAAGTTGTAAAAAGCATTACAGTAGTATGACTATCTACTACGGTCCCAGTGAAATTTCTGTGGTTTTCAAGGTAGGCATGTACCAAAAAATTTGAAAACTATTGATGTAAGAAATATTGCACAACACTTCCTATTTTTAAGAATTATGAAATTCAACTACTTTAA